CACACCCTTGCCTGGAGAACCAGCCACAGTGGAGGAGGCACTTAGTGAACCCCAAAAGGAGGAGTGGAAGGCTGCCATGGATGCGGAGTTCAACAGTCTCATTGATAATGGGACTTGGGAGCTTGTTGAGTTACCCGAGGGGCGACGGCCGATCAGCAGCAAGTGGGTCTTCAAATTGAAGAGTGGTGCTGATGGTGCGTTGGAGCGGTTCAAGAGCCGCTTGGTTGCCAAGGGGTTTCAGCAGAAGGAGAAGGTCGACTTTGGGAAGATCTTCGCTCCCGTTGCTAAGCCAGTGACATTGAGGACTTTGATGGCTGGCGCAGCTGTAAAGGGATGGCACGTGAAGCAGATGGATATCACCACTGCGTTCCTCAATGGAATATTGCTGGAGGATATCTACATGGCGCAGCCCGACGGCTATGAGGATGGGACCAGCCGGGTGTGCAAGCTTAAGAAGGCCATCTATGGCCTTAAGCAGGCGCCCAGGTGTTGGTACGAGAAGCTGGAGGAGGTGCTGCTGGGTGGAGGCTTCAAGACGTCCCAAGCAGATCACAGCTTGTTTCTGCTTGGAGAGGGGGAGCAGCTGCGTTTGCTGCTGGTGTATGTCGACGACATACTGCTGTTCTCACCTTCCATGGAGCAGATTGAGAGGACACAGAAGCTGCTGATGGACAACTTCAAGTGCAAGATGCTGGGGGATGTCCACTACTACTTGGGGCTGCAGATTGAGAGGGATGTTGAGAGGAGGTGGCTGAAGGTGCATCAGTCGCACTACATCTCTGGTGTCATGGAGCGGTATGGTGTGACTGGGGGTCGCACTGTGATGACACCGTTCCCTGCGGGCTTCAAACTGAAGAAGGCAGCTGAGGAGGATGATGTACTCTCGAGGATGAGCAGCAGAATGAGTACCAGTCACTCATTGGGAGTGTGATGTATGCAGCTGTGCATACGCGACCTGATGCTTCATTCGGAGTGGGGCAGCTGGCCAGAGTTGTGCAACGGCCCACTGTGGAGCAGTTGGAGGTGGCAAAGCGCTTGGTGCGCTACCTTGGATCAACAGCATATGCTGGTGTTCAGTTTTCAGCTGGCGGCCAGCTGAAACAGATTGGAGCAGATGGGGTCACACCTGGTACCTTGAAGCTGTCGTGCTTCACCGACGCCACATGGGCCTCAGAGGATGAGGATCCGTTATCGGTTGGCGGCTTCGTGTGCATGGTCGGAGGTGGACCAGTGAGCTGGAGGTCCAAGAAGCAGAGTGAGATTGCTCAGTCTTCCGGAGAGGCAGAGTACATGGCGATGTACCATGCCATCAAGGAGATCGTGCTCCTGAGGAAGCTGCTGGAGGATATGGGAGCTGAACAGGAGGGACCTACACCACTTTTCTCCGACAGCGAGGCTGCTATTGGCATGGCCAATAATCCTATCCTGAATGGGCTGAACAAGCAAATGAAGATTAAGTGGCACTGGGTGAGGCAGATGGTGAAGGAGGGAGCTGTTGAGCTTCACCATGTGAAGGCTAGCAAGCAGGCGGCAGATTTTCTCACCAAGAGACTTCTCGAGAGCGCACATTGGAAGTGTGCTAAGATGTGTGGCATGGCATTGCACTAGTGAGGGCAGCAGTGTCATGAATGCATGAGTGATTGTGTGCATGAGACTATGCATGTGTGTGGGTGTGTGTGCATGCAGTCCGTTAGTCTGAGGGGGAGTTTGTTGGATGCACGTCATTCTGAGTGCATGTCATCTAACGTCCTACCGAGTGCTCGTGCTTTTCATGCGTGCATTGTTTGCATGAGCGTATGTCATTGTGCTTGGCTGTTGGATATTATCATCTCTGTGTTTCTCTCCAAGTCTAAATGCTTGATCATGCAGGAGAAATCCAGAGCTTTCCAACAACACCAAGATCGCCTTATTCCGACCAAGATCGCCCAAGTTACAAGATTTCCAAGACTTGGATTTCTTATTACCTTTTGGGGTTATATCTAATTTGGGTGATTACTTGGGACATGACTATAAAGGGATCTTTGGTTGGGTGGTTAGGAAGGCAACTTTGACTTTTGGATTGGGGTGGCTAGAAGTCTCTAGCATGGGTTGCAAATGTTGCAACACCTAGGCAAAATCCAACTAGATTGGATTTTGCATGTGACACCTCAAGGACCTCATGATGAGGGTTGCATCCTTGCTGCTAGGAAGGTTCTTACCATCCTTCCCTAGCTCTTGGAGAACCCCTTCCCTCTCATGGTTCTCTTGGAGGTTCCCAACTCCAACTCTTTTTCCTCTAATGTTTGTACTTCCTCCACCATTCTAGTCATGCGGCTGTTGGACGTTTTTTCTTGGTTCTCGCTCTATAGACCATCTTAACGACTGATTCAACTTGGAGATGGTAGGTAAGACTAAGGCGCAACTTCCTAATGAGCGGATTTGCGTTTAGTTGAGAATTGAGTTCGTCGTAAGCTCTCAAACTGACGGATCCTGAACAACATGACCGACGGTTGGAATCATTTGATAGGAGCTCCGACACACATATCGCGACAAGGTTTGGCTCGAGTCAAGTTTCAAATTGGCACGCGAGCTTTTCCAGATGACATTCGGTAGCAATCCGTTTCGGTGCAATTTCGGTACCAAACTATTAAAAACTGGATGTTGGTTTTGTTATATTTTGGGAATTGAGGATTTCAGAATTACATTCAATATTCCGGTAAACAACAACCATTATTCAGCATTCTAACAACCAGCAGTTTTAGCACCAGGTCAAATAGCCTACGCAATGCTGGGCCCTGCAATCGCCCGGTGGGCAAGAATGACATCTCCAAGGTCGCCATCGTCGATGAGGAACTTGTTCGGGAAGACGAACGCACCTTGAGCCGGATCGTGTGGGGTCCGCCGCTCCACGACGGCAAAGTGTATCATCTGTTTGACCTTGTCACACCACTCGAAGTAGTCCGGCCTGTTTTGTTCCGGCTGGGCCAGAATTCGCTTGCAACGCTTATCCTGCAGAAGGGGCCACTCGATCTGCAATGTAGTGTAGGGTTGGGTGGATGGAGTATGGGGGGGGGGGGGGGTTACGGGTATATGGGCCAACTGAAAGCGGTGAAGACGACACACCCTACGTAACCGCAAACGCCTAAGCGACCAGGGATTTAGATGAAGTACAGGCAACCCATATCTCCCGAGACATGAGGCATGGGTGTACAGACACATATCTACATCCTTACCGAAAACAGGCCCCATGCCACCATGCAGCTCTTGAACTTGGTGAACACAACCCCGCCCCTCTTGAAGGAGAGCTTGAACGCATAAGCAAACAAGGGGTTGCTGAAGGGCGTTCCGGTGGCCTTGTCAAAGTGCCAGTTGAGAGCCCACTGTTCTGCATTTTGGGAGGGAGCGTACGGGTTGGAAAGGGGGTGCATAGAAATCAAGTGGCTGGGTGAGAGTTAGGGTGAGGAACACCGCACGGTTATTTGTAGCTGCCACCTGGCATATGGGCAGGGGGATATGATGTGTTCGAGTCACACATACCATCTCTGTACTCGGCCAGGAGATCCTCGTGGTTGAACCAGTTCTTTGGGTGTAGCTCAGTGGGCAGGGTATCCATGAGATGGGCGTAATCGGAGAGGCCCATGCCGGCGTACGTTGGTGGCCTGAGGGTGCTGTTGATTGTTGACCTGGTTGACAACATCTGGTGGTTGAAGACACCCATGGTTGACTTATCGTTATGCAACCACAGCAGCTTCATTAACTCGAGCCCTTCGGCAGACAAGTGGACAGCGAACGCCTCGAACACTTCCTCCGGTGCATGGTAGTACTGGATTTTTTCCGGGGGGTTCAGAAACAGGAGCTGAGAGCACACTAAGTAGGCCTTGTTCTGCGCAGGGGTGTGGGGTTTACAACACGACATGGGGAGAGAGAAACCATCAGTTATGACTGTGGCCGCGTGACCACAGGATGGACAGTATGAACTTTCCACGTCACACCCTCCTCCATCCGCCAGATCCACCAGCAACCAGCCCCACTCGCCACATCACATCCACCCACCCCATGCCACGTCACCCCCTACCCACCTGATACGCGTCACCTCGTCACACGCCGCTCCCGTGTAACCTTCCAAGCCGCCACGTCAGCCCCAAGCCTCACATCCCGCCACGTCACACCCTCCTGCATCCGCCACATCAGGGAACAACCAGCCCCACGTGCCACGTCACACCCACCCACCCCATGCCACGTCACCCCCCACCCACCTGACACGCGTCACCTCGTCACGCGCCGCTCCCGTGTACCCGTCCAAGACGCCACGTCAGCCCCAAGCCTCACATCCCACCACGTCACACCCTTTTGCATCCGCCACGTCAGGGAACAACCAGCCCCACGTGCCACGTCACACCCACCCACCCACCCCATGCCACGTCACCCCCCACCCACCTGACACGAGTCACCTCGTCACGCGCCGCTCCCATGTACCCGTCCAAGCTGCCACGTCAGCCCCAAGCCTCAGATCCCGCCACGTCACACCCTCCTCCATCCGCCACGTCAGGGAACAACCAGCCCCACGTGTCACGTCACACCCACCCACCCCATGCCACGTCACCCCCCACCCACCTGACACGCGTCACCTTGTCACGCGCCGCTCCCGTGTACCCGTCCAAGCCGCCACGTCAGCCCCAAGCCTCAGATCCCGCCACGTCACACCCTCCTCCATCCGCCACGTCAGGGAACAACCAGCCACACGTGCCACGTCACACCCACCCACCCCATGCCACGTCACCCCCACCCACCTGACACGCGTCACCTCATCACGCGCCGCTCCCGTGTACCCGTCCAAGCCGCCACGTCAGCCCGAAGCCTCACATCCCGCCACGTCACACCCTCCTCCATCCGCCACGTCAGGGAACAACCAGCCCCACGTGCCACGTCACACCCACCCACCCCATGCCACGTCACCCCACCCACCTGACACGAGTCACCTCGTCACGCGCCGCTCCCGTGTACCCTTCCAAGCCCCCACGTCAGCCCCAACCCGCCCCATTTGGCCCGCCACATACCGGGAATGGGTTTGTCTCCTGCAAAACTAGCACTCGTGCCTTGTCCACGGCACTCATCGGCGGCGGGGTACCAGCCATAGGCGCGGCTGTGAAACCCCCGGCATAACTGGCAGGTACTCCACGACGCAGGCCGAGCTGTGCAAACATGGCGTACATCTCAGACCGCAGCGCCTGGAACTCCTCCCGTGTAACAAACTGCTCGTGCTCCGCACTTTCACCTAGGGCACCCATGAGCGGTGGAAAAGGGTGTGAAGAATCCCCCCTCTGGCCAAGGGTTTCAGCATCTTCTTCAGCACTCCCGTGTGCCCTCACACTATCACGCTGGCGGGAAAAGGGGGGCTCAGGGAAGGGATTGGCAGAAGTGCTTGGCCGATGCCCGCGCGAAGGACCAGCGAGGGGGGAGATCGCCCTGCCCCGGACAAGAGAAGCGTGTAGCGACCGAAATGGGTATGAGGGTGAGGCGAGTGGGGAGTGCGTGACGGGGCCTGGTGGAGGTGATTCGGATTCCTCTCCTCTTGGCACGCCAAGAGCCGTCGCAGCGACTTTGCTTGGGCCGGAGTACGGCGTGAAGAGCCTTGGGGCTCCTGTGGATAGCGGCGTCACACTCGCTCTTCCGGCCCCCTTCGTTAGCTGCATCCGTTGCACGCTTACCGATGGCCCAATGCCTGTAACACGAGGGGCTGAGATTTAGAGGGAGTAGGATCAAGAAATTAAATCGATCGATTTCAATACAGGGCCAGACAGTCATGCATGCAATCAATGGTTTGAATCTAAATCGGGCTTAGCCGTGTACTGTTTTGAGACAGGAGACTTTACCTTTCTTTGCAGATTCGTCGTCCTTCTCCTTCCTTGAAGGGGAGAAACAACGTGTAGAATGGTGTTATTTGGCACGGTTGAGCAAAGAGTGCAACAACCACGCCCAGTCTATTGGTCAGGGTGCTCACCTTTCTGCTGTCCCTTCGGTTTATTTGGGGCCAGCGCCTTCTCGTTGCCACCTTTCCGCGGGGTGCTTTGACGGCCGCTGCGACGTTTACCGGCAGGTTCTTTCTTGCCAGTACCCAATGGAACCCCTTTGGCGCCGCCACCCTTACCTCCTCCATCCCCTTTTGCTCCCTGGCGCCCTTGCTTTTTACCACCCCCTTCACTTTCGACCTTCACCTTACGCGCCTTCGGTCTGCCAGCTGCTGCGCCGCGCGCGGCGTTAACTGTACCACCAGGCCCCGTCACGCACTCCCCACTCGCTGGTCGCGCTGCTCCTCCGGCCCCCCACCTTCTCTGTACACTCTGCCGTCTGCCACGCCCGCCCCGTCCCTTCACTGCCGCCACGTCCTCCTCCTCCTCCCCCTCTTCATCCTCCTCCTCCTCCTCCTCCTCCTCTGCCTCCTCCCCCTCCTCCTCCTCCTCCTCCTCCTCCTCCTCCTCCTCCTCCTCCTCCTCCTCCTCCTCCTCCTGTTCATCCTCCTCCTTGTCGTCCCCCTGCTCTTCCTCTCCTCCTCCTCCTCCTCCTCCTCCTCCTCCTCCTCCTCCTCCTCCTCCTCCTCCTCCTCCTCCTCCTCCTCCTCATCATCATCATCATCCTCCTCCTCCTCCTCCTCATCCTCCTCCTCCTCCTCCTCCTCCTCCTCCTCCTCCTCCTCCTCCTCCTCCTCCTCCTCCTCCTCCTCATCCTCCTCTTCATCGTCCTCCTCCTCCTCCTCCTCCTCCTCCTCCTCCTCCTCCTCCTCCTCCTCCTCCTCCTCCTCCTCCTCCTCCTCTTCGTCCTCCGCGCCATCATTCTCATCTTTTTCATCCTCCCGAACATCCGCATCATCCTCCTCCGCATTCTCTTCATCCTCCTCTTCCTGCGCATCCTCCTCCTCGGCCTCACCAGGGTCTTCACCACCCCGTTTCTTGCCCCTCCTTCCGCCGGATGTTTTTCTTGCTGCGGGTCGGCCCTTTTGGCGCAATGCATGACATGTCGCTTTGCCACTAGCTTCACTGGCGCCTCGCGTTCTCCCAAATTCCGCGCCACCGGCGTCGTCGGCACTGCCTGTCGTCTGCCGCCTCTTCGCCCGCGTGGTGATGTCCCCGGGCACGGCGGTGTCAGAATCGTCCTCCTCATCGCTCTTCCTCTGCCTACGTCTCCCCCGTCCACCAGAAGGAGGAGAGCCACCGACGTCGGCTATGCCGTGGTTAGGATCCTCCATCGACTCGTGCTCCCCCACCTTGTCCTTATCCAGCACGGCAGCAGAAATTTCGACCATGGTCGGCTGGAGCAGCGTCAGATGGTGTTGAGATGCCTCTGCCTCGGACTCCTTCGTTGCGGTATGCTCGGCGCGTGGATCGCCTCCGTGGTTTCCCCCTGTCGCCGATCCCTCTCTCTCCGCCGACGGGAGTGCAAGGCTCGCGCTCCCTCGCCCCGGATGTTCGTTGCCGCCACTAGTGCCGTCGTTAGTCGGATCGGGCGTGGTTCCAGCTGAGGCAACATCCGCATCTTTGTCACTGTAGAAACACGCTTGCGTGGCATTGGTTTCTTCCCGTTGTCTGCCGCCTTCCTGCCGGACTTCTCTTGACCGCGCGCGACCTTCTTTGCCGCCACTTTTTTCAGCCTAGTGTCACGCGTAACGGACGCATTAGTTTTCTTAGCGCCGTCGCCACCCTCCCTATCGGTCCGTTTAGACATCGTCCTTGTCGCTCGGCGTCCGGCCTGTTTCTCCTCCATTACTTGTTGACGTGTGGCGCGTGTCATGGTTGCCGTAGGAATGCCAAGGTCTATCGCGCAAAACGGGTTAGCCTGTTTTGAAGGGCCGCAGCAACTGAATATCACAAAGTGTTTAACGACGGCCTATCACTGTTATGTTTCTCCGAAAACCGCTGCTATCACTAAAACTGAAATAGTAGCCACTCATCACAGAGCTACGGCCCGTGACTTAGTATACTGGTGAGTCACGGGCGATCTGGAAACGCGCTTGTCAAACAGCGAGCAGCGTCGAAGTGTTGGCACAGAGGGTGACGGGAGTAGGTGGGTGGGGCACGAGGGTGGTTGGGGTGGGTTGCGAGACTATAGAGATTACTGTAACCCTATCAGGCTATATCGGACGGTATACGTGTAGCCACCCGTGCATAAACCCGCCTACCACTCGATCTCATCCGCTCAATGGCGGAAGTGCCTCTTGGCTGGTGCTTGTGTTGTGTGGGGACTCGTTTGAGATGCATTGGCCAATCACGGTTGCCAACGCATCAATCTCTACGCATAGTATGACAGTTTTAGAACCTCAAGTGCGAATGTAACCTTATCCCTGCAAAGTACAGTGATCTCGTGAACGCACAGTGTTGAACATGTACGCGGAATAAAATTCAAAAAATACAACAATAAAAAACATCCAAAACGTTGATGCTCTTGGTTTAGTATGGGGTTGCCGCCGGTAGTGGGTTTGTCTCATGTCTCACACACAAAGTGTAACAAACAAATGTGTTGACGAATAGTAACAGACGAGAAAAAGTAGTTGTATGGTGTTAGATTGTCATCCATTCTTGCACAGACATTCAACAAGGTGCTTAGAGAGAGTGGTATGAAGCACAGGCCCAACGCACAAGCGTAGATGCGTTCCCGACAGCAGTGTTTAGACAGTGCGACGATGCCGTGTTCCGGCCTGTGTGTTGCGCGACATGGTGAATCCGTTGTGGTTTGGCGTTGGATTGTCATCCATTCTTGCACAGACATTCAACAGGGCGCCCAGAAGGAGTGGCATGAAGCACAGGCCCAACGCACAAGCGTAGATGCGTTCTAGACAGCAGTGTTTAGACAGTGCGACAATGCCGCGTTCCGGCCTGTGTGTTGCGCGACATGGTTAATCCGTTGTGGTTTGGCGTTGGATTGTCATCCATTCTTGCACGGACACTCAACAAGGTGCTTTGAGAGATGGTATGAAGCACAGGCCCAACGCACAAGCGTAGATGCATTCTCGACAGCAGTGTTTAGACAGTGCGACGATGCCGCGTTCCGGCCTGTGTGTTGCGCGACATGGTGGAACCGTTGTGGAATGGTGTTGGGTTGGGCTCAATTCTTGCATGGGCCCTCGACAAGGTGCATGGAGGGTGTGGCATGAAGCACTGGTCCAACGCACGAGCAGTTATGCGTTATCGACATCGCTGTTCAGACGCGGCGACGTTGCAGCATTCAGGCCCGTGGCTTACGCGACATGGTGAAACGGTTATGGAATGGTGTTGCTTCCCAAATGGTAGCAGACCACACTAACGGTGTTGTTTCTAAGCACTGCCGTTGTCACTATGCCGGAAGGTATTGAGCATGCCGTAAAGTATGGTCGTATAATCGTTATGAGTGACATTAAGTAATTATATGTAACTGTACAATGGTATTACCTGGTTTGGATTAAGGCTATAGGGGTGCGCACCACTTTGGGCACACCTACGTGATCGCGATCTCCCCCCTATAGAGACTCTCGAAAGAATCACAACACCAAACAGATCTCTTCCCTCTCTTCCTCTCCCACCTCGACTCTCACACACGATTCAAAAACCGAAGTTTTGAATATGGAGGCACTTACTCCTCACCATGTTCGTCACGCACGCCCGCGACCAAGCTAGCCGTACACCACTACATAAGGCCTTGCTCACGTCGTAATCACTCTAACAGGGGGCGACACGCCTTGTAGGGAAGGCCTATGCCGTGCTGTCGGCGGTCTGTATCTAGGCTTGTCACGGCCACGCTGCGCGACCATTGTTAGCCAGTCTCTCACTAATGCGCCACGATCAAGTGCCAGGCGTGCAGAGATCCAAGCCGCCATGGACACTTCGCGCTGTGGCGATGAGCCTTCATTGACCGTGAAGTAAAAGCGTTTACAAGCTTCAAACTGGCTAGTCTCCTCACACTACATTCCACCACTCTTAGACGGATCTAGAATACATGGGCTCTTTGCCAGGCATAGTATGCGAGTTCTGCAACAGATGGTTCCCCAACGCCCAGGTTTATGGCGGCCATAAGTCACGGCGGACCCCTTGTCAAAGGCTTTCCGCCGTGGCAAGGCCCTCCTCGTCTGCACCGTCCGCCGGTCTACACGCTCTGCTATTCGTCCACGACATTCTGTCAGACGCTCCCGCTGCACTTGCTTCCCCTACCGCGTCTAACGCGTCCAACACCGACGGTGTGAATGGTCCTCCTCGCGTGCCCAAAGCTAACGGGGACGCAACACCCTCGGCTGTGAACGTGGGGGCTCCTGAAAGTGAGCATCAACCGCCTCCCGGAACACATGCCTCTGACACGAGTGAGCATCCGGAGAGCTGCCCTGAAGAGACTCACGCCGCACCGCCGACATGCATCTCTGGGCAGAGCAATGCCACGCCCCTCAATTCACTTCCGTTGAAGCTGCTGCATTTTGTGCGGCGCGTTAATGGCGGAATGGGAATGGCGGAGATCGACATCAATGGTCTGCTTCAGCTCGTGGTGGAGCTAGGCCTTGCGCCTCTTGTGATCTCAGAGATCCGGAACAGCAAGGATCTGGAGCGGTTCGAGATGGAGCGCTTGGTCGGGCTCAATCGCGGATGGTCAGTGGCGACCTTCGAGATTGACGGTCATCCGCCACAGCGCCTTCCCTTCCAGAACTCTGCGCAGGTAAGTTGAATCTGGATCCGTCGCTATGAAATGCAGATTCCGCATCCATTTGGTGCTTGTCAAACGTTGCCTCTGTTAGGCTTGTGTGAGATCTGACCCACCTTCAACGCCACTAACCAGGGTTTGGTTCTCTCCTGCTCTTGCCACAGTACGCCAGGCGTTTGCCGAACTGTTTGGGCATACCAACAACACGACCGGCTTCAAGCTCAAGGCTCGCGTCGATGAGGACCCTGACACAGGCGAGCGTCGCTATACCACGCCGGAAACGGGAACGTGGTGGAACGATGCTCAGGTATGGAAATACCCCGTTGCCACCCAAAACCAGAAGAGTGTGCATGCCTCCGTTGATGCGCTGATGTCTAGGGAGCATCTTCAGTGTGTCATGTTTCTGGGGAGTTCTTTGAAGCATGCTTAGTCCGCCTGGCGACAAGTTACCTTGTTGGTGTTTGACCGTGTGCCTTTTCCCTCTTTGTCGTGCTTTGCAGGAACACTTTGGATGGTCCGAAGTCGTGGGGGGTATCATCCTATACTCGGATGTGACGCACATGAGCAACAACGGCCGGAAGAAGGCGTGGCCGCTAATGATGACGCTTGCAAACATCTCCCAGGCCAAGCGATGGGGGAAAGCCGGGCACACGCTACTTGCTCTCCTTCCTATCCCCCCTTCTGCAATGTATGCCGTGGAGAAGGTGATGCTCTTCCAGCGATGCGTCATCACCGTGCTGCAGCCGCTTCTTGATGGCATGGAAAGGTCCGTACTCTATTTCCGGCTTGCTATGTTGTCACCCAATCAACGTCATAGTATGCGCAGCGTTTCTGTATGTAAAAGTCCCCCTTGTCCCTCTTCGCCGATGCACAAAGCCGAAATCTCTGTTCCTGTTGCCACAATATTTGTTCCTTGCAGCGGGTTCCGTCTCAGGGACCCTTTCGGTGATTGGCAAACCGTGCGGCCCCTGCTGTACGCCTGGGTGTGCGACTAACCTGAGAGCGCCAAGATCAGTTGCACACTCTCGCATGGATCGCGGATGCCGTGCAGGATCTGCTATGCTGCAAAGGTGAGCAAACATGCGATCTGCGTGCCTTCAGAACCATCGCCATCCGAATGTCACATGACGGACCTCATAATCTCACCTCCCTTACCTGTTCATCCCATCCCACCCCTTGTGCTACACCAGGAGCATCTGGTTGCTGTAAAGGCACAGAACATGCCGCGCACGCCTGAACAGCAGCAATGGATCGTGAATGAGGCGGCAGGGTTGACATCAAGCCATGACGACCCATACAAGACCTACTCGACCTACCCGGTTGAGGTGAGCGACCTGTTCCCCGGGCGACTGTGTAGTCTACGCACTCCTTGTTGCTCAAACCTTGGGGAGATGTGCTATACCCCATTGCACTGTCCCACATATTGTGTGCTGAGTCTCTCAAATACCTTTCTCTACCATTCCCCACCACATCCCCTTTTCCAATGTGTGCTCTGGAAGTGGGATGTCCCAGGGACCGTGTGGGGCAATCCCTACCTCATTATCATGCCTGACATCATGCACCAGGCGGACCTGGGCATGATGAGCCACATTGTGGCTGTCGTGCGCAAGATGAAGAAGCGGCGCGTGAAGCAGATGGACAGGTTAG